TCGAATGGACCGTAATTTATTTTTCCTTTCATTTTTGTTACATTATCTTTCATTTTCAATGATTTTCATTCAACTATAATTTTTTTCCACTTTTTCACCTTCTTCTACTATAATTCTTTTCCACTTTTTCACCTTCTTGAAAGGTCTACTAGTCGATGAAATTTTTTAAACTAGTACCTGTCCACTATTCAATTAGTTTTACAGAAGTTTTTTTTGAGTTATAATATTTCATCCATTCATATACTGAAAATCTTCCATAGCACTCTGATTATTTCAAACCTCTTCGTTACTAATTAATCTCCGAAATGTCAGTGCAATGCTAAAACAAACCAATTCACGTAATCGCAACATCCACAATGAGATCACTTTTTTCAATGAATTACTTCAAATCCATTCCAGAGTAATTTCTCATCAGGCGAAATGTATTGAACGTCATTTAATGAGTTTTCTGCCATTTAGTATGACAAATATCCTTAATTTATACACAAATAACTGGTTGATATGAATGTATCCGGCTCCACAAAGATTATGAGAAAAACACAGGATCTGTTTCAAAATGGAAATTAATGGATTGTGGAGGAGGGATCGGTTCAAACATAGTTCTATACGTTGAAATCCCCTCCATTCCGGATGCAAATCATTGATTCCATCGCTTCGTCGACAGCAGATTGAAAGCAGCCGTAGTGGTTTGAATTTTCGGTTGAAATAATCGTACCAGAGATTGTTTTGAATTCAGTTCATGTATTTTTAATTTTCATCTTCTCAACATTTGTTAGAACGAATTTTCTTTCCTCTAATACGACTTGCTCATAGAAACTTCCAAAAGAAACACCTTTCACAATCACCATCTTCATTAATGAAACACATTTCGGAAAGAGTGTTGCAGATTTGGTATTTGTTCAGGGTTCATTATGAGCCAGAGGTTCCAGATTCAATTTTTTGACTATTGTTAGTGAAATCATCATCTCGAAGACCCGATTGGTGATGCAGATCAAACTGAAGAGCAGTTGAATTTTGTTCTGATGCAGGCCCAAGTAACGACCCAAACTTCGCCAAGTTGTGGTCAGCGATATTATCGACTATTGATATTATCAGAATATGATTCGCATGTAATGAAAATCGGTAATTGATTTTTTAGAAAATACTTTTTGGCTCCTCCTCAATCATTGAACAAAAAATTTGGGATACTTACAAAAAAAGTAAGAAAGAAAGTAAGTGCAATGAGGAACTCTTCAAAAAGATATGTTATGAATACACAGAAATTTCTTCTAGATACAAACCGGAAAAGAGCCTCTTCCCAAACAACTACTTCTACATGAACACTTCAGGAATGATTTTCTGAAATGAATTGTTGTAGATATCATCGAACCTTCTTATATAAACATCAACTGACACAACGGAATCTGCAAAACTTTATTGCATAAACATGGTGAATTGTCCACATCTATAGAAATGCAAACACCAGCCATTAAATTGAATTCAGAGTTCATAATTGGAATGAACTGATCCGTTGATCTCTGGAATTAGACAAAGGGGAGATTCCGTTGGAAATATACATTAATAGATATTAGGAATAATTATTGAGGCAATTCGACTGTTCTCGGAGTGAGTTGATTGTTTGAAGCTGTTACTTTCGTATTCGTATTCAAACTCTAAATTTAATTGAAATGTTTACAATTCGCTCGAAAATACAGTTGAGTAATTAATATCGCTATTTTCCTATTTCTGGGTGAATGTGAAGTGGCTAGTTTCGTGTTGAAGTTGTTAATGATTATTAAATTTTAAGCTTCTCTTCTGTACAGCAAATACAGTTCAGAATTCGAGAAACGATTGTGTTGTACAAATAGAAAGATCTGAGGATATGACTCATGATTCGTTATTTCCTCAATTCCTGAATATTTGGAATAATATGGTGACAAAGAGTTGAAGGAGGAAGAAATATATAGGCGAATCTTTGAATCACACTTGAATCGACTACATATAACTAGTTTTTCAAGGACAATACACGAGCATTACAGGAGCATCCTTAAAGCGCTTTAAGAGCGGTGTCTGTGCGAAAGTGGTGATTCACGTTGGGTTTGAATCGCTAGAGATTAAATTAATTTGGAAAAACATTCTCAGAAAGTTCATTCCACATAAACGCAGTTCTCCAAATGAAAGAAATGTTAAACAGTGAAGTTAGAGGTGTACTGAGTTGAAGCTGAAAACGATGAGCAGCCACAGTCCGCTGCATATTTCTAATATGTACCGTTCTTGGTGGAATCAAATTTACCAAGTCACTTGAACACTCCCCGTGAAAGGAAGACAAATCTCCGGTCATCCTTCGATGTTCCAGACTATCAAGGTTGCAAATGATGTTCGTGTCTTCAAGTCAAGCGGATGGCTTTTTTCTGGATGGAATCCAGCAGCTTCAGGTTATGCTTAGGCGTAGCTCCATACATGTGAACAATATTACAAAACAGATATGATCTTAACTCAATAAAGCATCAAAATTTGCTGAGTTTTGATAATCAGCCTCTGCAATTTCAGCGACATGATTGTGCCAAGACATATTGGTGTCCATTTCTACCTCCAACAAACTTATCAAAGCAGAAAGCGGAATTATCTATCCTGAGACTGTTATATCTGTTCCGGAGACAATTATCTTTTTAGAGAAAACCGATGCCTGGGTTTTTGTGGCATTGAATTGAACCTAGTTCATCCCAATTTAAAATCACCTCTAGATCCTTATTAAGATATGCAGCCTCCTGCTGCCGGTGACGATGTGCATCCACGGCCAATGTCCTGGAATCTAAATGGAGTGACGAGAAAAGTGTGCTGTCGTCAGAAAAGCAATATATTGAATTCTCGTTTCTTTACAATAAGTCGATGATATACAATAAAAAGAGGGTCGGAGATAAGATGGATCCCTGGGGAACACCAGCGTTGATGGTAAAAGTATTCGAGAGATACGCATCGACATCCACAGACAGGGTAAGTTATGTAAACGACCTGCTACTAAACATATTTGACATATTGTTACCCTTGAAATTAATTTCCTTCAATACCAAAAACCTCCTTGGATTACAGATGTTATCAAAAAATGATTGAACTAAGGGAAAAAGCTTACCGTAAATACAAAAAATTGCAGGACGAAGGTTATTGGAACTATTACAAACAACACAGAAATTGTGTAAATATAGCTGTCCGTAACGAAAAAAAATGATATTTAGAATTCAGTGCAAGAAACCAAAATGATAGTAAGATTCTGTGAAAAAGATTACAAAATTTTAATATGTGCAGCAAAGCAACTGTATATATACCAGAATGTCTCGACAACCCTAACAGAATAAATCAGCACTTTATACAGTCATCATCGAATAAGTCTGAACCTGAACAAAATTTGCTCGATAAGTATATTCAATACTGTCGAAGAAATTCATTAATGCTTACTATAGGTGAAATCACTAGCTACTGGTCCTAACTTAATAAACTTATAAACGATATTACTTTGCTGCCCAACAATTCTATCAGTTATTAACTAATATTGTCAATTCTTGTTTACTGAAAGGTATTTTTCTTTATATTTGGAAAGTGCCACGGATAATTGCATTGCCTAAGAAAAGTGGTATATTGAGTTACAATGACCTCTGCCCGGTTAGCATACTACCATGTCTGTGGAAGGTAATTGGAAAAATCATGAACTTTCGTGTAAGATGGCATCTTGAAAAATATACTACATTGCCTTCTGAACAATCAGGGTTCAGAACGGAACACAGTTGTGCTACAGCCTTACTTAACATTGTTGATGATATTATTAGAGAGACAGATGGAGGAAAAACAACTGTTCTCATTCTCTTAGATTATTCAAAAGCAGTTGATACGATAAACCACGAACTTTCACTCTCTATTTTACATTTTATAGGTTTTTCGGACAGTGCTATTAGTCTTATGTGTGATTATCTACAGGACAGGAGTCAATATGTAGAGACAGCTGTGGGTCAGTCAGCAAGAGAAAAAGTCACTTGTAGGGTTCCATAAGGGTCTATACTTGGCCGCGTACTATTTAGTGTATATACACAAGTAATTTAATTCCGAGCATTACAACTTGTAAAGTTCACTTTTATGCTGATGATACATACACAGCTGTATCACTCATTCGCTTCAGAAAATTGGTTTGAGGCTCAAAAAGTTATATCTGAAGATATAAACCGACTCGAGTCTAAAGTAATGATATTTGAAAAAACAAACATCACATTGAAACCATCATGAGACTTAAAATTGAAAATGAAGAGTTACTGTTTACAAGTGATACAAGAAATTCAGTTTTACACTTAGATACATAACTTTCGCTTTAGAAAACATATTAACTCTTGTCTTCAAAAAGATATCAATTATATAGAAAAAATACAGAAATCATGTCTCAGATTGATCTACGGTATTCGCAAATATGATCCAATATCTCACAAGCTAAGATCCGCAAAGTGATTAAAAATGCAAGATCGTCAAAAACTTCATTTTCTCATTTTAACCCATGCAGTGATCAATAAACAGTGACCCCCCTATCTTTACAATAAAATAAAATATAGGACAGATATTCATAACCTTAATTTACATCATAGGGGTCATATCTCGCTTTCACCTCACAAAACTTCTTTGTTTCGAAGAAGCTTTACCTATAATGTCTTCAAGCTTTATTCAAGCTTAATTTTGAAACAAAATGAGAAACAGTCTCTTGGCCAAGAATGAATAACTCAAAGTTTCCACAAATAATATTTATTTGTCCTTCAACATTTTTAAAATAAAAATTATCAGCATGCGAACAATTATGATTATACTTATAAATTGAGTAAATTCTTAAGATTTATTGGTATACAGAAAGTTGAGAATTTTTTATCGTGACCGTAATCAAAACTTCAATGAACTTTTCATATTGAAAGTGACCAATTCAGAAAATCAGCCATCATCTGTATCTTTCGGTATCTCAAAGCACTTATAAACTACTTCAATTTGATTCACAGTACGAACTGCGTTTGGCGGCGTCAGACAACCTCAAAGAGAACTACACCACCGTAGTCATTCACGTCAAGGACGTCAATGATAATCCTCCAGTTTTTGAAAGGCCTACATACCGAACGCAGATCACGGAAGAAGACGACAGAAATCTACCGAAAAGCGTCTTGAGGGCGAGTGTTTTCGGCATGATTGTTATTATTATGTGTTTTCCCTTGCTATGTTTTTGATTTACAGTGAACTGCAGAATGCCAGCCGAAACTTAAAAATGTATTTTGCATGCCAAATACCGCCCAATAAAGTTTGTCTGAGGTTCGTTATAGATGCGAATTTTTATACCGCGTCTCATTTATGACACAGAATCAACATATAAATTTCTAGAAAGATATGAAATTTCTTTTTATTTTTGTTCGTAAGTGATGAAAATCTATAACGTATTCAGGTAACATTCCTTATGTGATTTTCACTGGACAGTTTACAAAACTACAACACGTTTTATCATATCTTTCTCAAGCAGTTCTTCAGATGGTTCAGTTTTTTTTGTTTCTATCATTTTTCAACTATTAATTCAATCATTTCCATCATCAGTGGTGATATTATCCACTACGAGAAGTAGCTATAAACAGAGTAAATATAAAATCTTGATACAACAATAATATGCACTTTTTTCAAACTCCAATACAGTCATCAATTAGGCTACTTTCTTCTGAATATATATGTTCATAATTTGATGCACAATAACAAAAAGTTTCAGTTTTATATCTAGGTTAGGTTAGGTCCAAAGTGAGTGGGTCTATTCGACCCTCCATTGCAACCCGCAATGGTTTATTGTGGCTCACACCTATTCACACTCGACCAAATAAACCCAGCTTCTTGACCAAGCCGATCAGTTTGTATGGTGAGTGGTCTTTCAGGTCAGATGGTAAGAGTACGGCCCTGCTGAACTCTAAAAACCTGATTCGGTCCCAGCGGGGCAGGCACACAGTATATGCTCTGCTGTTTCATCATTAATGAGGTGGTCGAATAGACAAGGTGCAAGGATTCCGCCTTGATACCTGCGACAACCTTCCCATATGAGGGTTTTTGCACGTCAGCTACACCTGACGATGCCTCATATTCAACCATGCAGGGCTTTTTCGCCTCTTGTTTTAGTGAATCATCACTTGAGCGCAAACGTTTGCTAACCTGCTCATGTGGGGTTTGTTCCTCCACCTGATACAGATTCTGCGTACGCCGCTCAAGAATTTGGTGCAAGGTGGTTTCATAAGGTACCCCGCTCTTCGGGAGACGACTCCGTCGTTTCCTGGTTGCACCAACAAACCTTTTTTTTTAGGTTCAGTTATTGAATCAGGAGTTGGAGAGTTGAAAAGCTTTCCGCTCAGTTGAAGTCGTAAGCTCGCCATCCATCTCCTCTGTAGACTCGGTCCTGATCTAAATTTACAGGGAGGTCAGTTGAAGTCGGAAGCTCGGCATCCATCTCCTCTGTAGGCTCAGCGTCAGAAAGAGTTTTTCATTTCACTCTGTCCATGAAAGTCCCACGAGTAGCAAGGGAAAGAAGGTCCATCACGGCAGAGCCCCGCATTACCGTGACAAGGCGATGCTACGACGAGAGGGTGCCCGGTATCTCGAAGATTCCGTAGAGACAGATGATAGGCTCAGTGTCATTTATCCTTTTGGCACACACCTTAGGATTAATCCATCGTAGGGATGCCATTCAGTTAGGGAATAACAGAACCACAAGTGATTCTGTCATTCCCGTATCCAGCGGGGCTACGCAGAAGCAGACATCCGATGGCCGGTTTGCTCAACTCCCACATCCCAGTTTTGTATCTAACTGAAACGATTTTTATTGTGAAAGAAGTTTGAGACACATAATCTAGTGGTTTCAATAATAAGTAACTTTTTCATTTCACTATCGATAGTTCCGAAAATTGAGAAAACAATCTTTTAATAGTTTTGATATCGAAGCATTTGCTCTGGCATTCCATTGATTGGTCTGCACCATAAAATAAAGATGAAGCTAGATACTCCTGGACTAACTCATCTTCAATGCAGAGACATTCATTTAGCAGGCCTTGTTGAACATTTGAAATACACAAACACTGTGTCGCGAATTTTCAGTTTGAAAGATGTAATTTTCCTGATAATTTCTGGCAAATAATTGATATATTGAACTAGTATGAGGGTAATCTTTCAGGAAGGATTGCATGAACTCTCAGCTATTGTCTCGCATTGTCAATTCATATGATGACTCTCAGACTTCATTTATTCAGTGAAATATTAATGATCACCAACAAAGGGATGGAATCTTTGACAAAAAGTTGGTGAAAAATGGTTTTACAAAAAGTTCCGGAACAAAATAGAGAAATAAATAACTCTAGCTTTGTGTATATGAACCCATAAATTACATTTATTTCACGAATAATATCCGTCTCTAGACGTAATTCGAGCTACAATAGAGGTATGACTTGATATATTGATACATAAATGAAATATCTGGTTACAAAATCGTGTTCCATCTAAAAGACCTCAATCAAGCTTTATTAGGCACAATACACTTAAATCACTGTAATGTTGAGTTGCTGATTTGTTTTTTTTTTTTGTTTTTTTTTATGTTGTTTGACGCATGCTTTAGTACGAGCTAACCCTGGTAGCATCCGACAGCTTGAATGAAAATTACACCACTATCGTTATCCAAATCAAGGACGCGAATGATCGGCCTCCCAAGTTCTCATGTTCACTGTACAGTAGAAAGATTGCTGAAGAATTTCCCGATTCGTACCCCCTCAAATTGATGAAGGTTAGATTTTTATTTTCAATATGCTCAAGTTTTTCTACTTCTTCGTTCATTAGCATGAGTGATAAATTTCTGTTGATCACAAAAATATTCGGAAATACATATAACTAGAACTGGAATCATCAACGAAATGGTAAGTACATGAAATTGAAGTTGATTCGAAAGTAGTGAAATGTAGATGATTGAAAATTTTATACGATCATGATTTCATCACCTTTTTCTTCGAAGTAATATTTCCTCTATCGAATTGTAGAGATAGTTTGAATCCTCGCATTGAGAAAAAAATAAATATACCCCATGTTATTTGAATGAAGGTGAACTTGAATAGATGTTAGGAAGTTGATTATTTCATGGGTCGAAGACAAAAGTTTTTCGATAGAGAAAAAAATACTGAAATTGAAAACCAATCAAGAAATTCATGGAAAAATCAAAGCGAGTCCAGATAATAATCATCAGAAAATGAATTGAAAAAAACATAACTCGGAAACTATGAAGAAATTTTAAAGCCGCCACATGTAAAGAATATTTTTTTTTGTTTTGTTAATACTACGATTTTAAAAATTTAGATTTCACCGGCTCTCATCTGCCAACAAGCAGATCTTTTTTGAGGTGTGAAAAATTGTGCACAAATATTTGAAACAAATAAAATAGAAAGTAAAAAATGAATTCAGTTTCTGAGATGTCCCATATTGCTAATGTCTTAAAAGAATTTCATACGTTTTTCTGCGTTTTCATATGAACAAGATATTACCATAACTGAAAGTGCTTGTAGCGGGAGTAACTGGTAATCAAAGAGGTCTGTGTTATCACTTCCAAGATTGGAGAATCATTTCGAATCGATGAGACATACCTCTGAAGATGGAAATCACTCGCACCGGCGAAACGTCAGGAAGAAATTCCAACAAATGACATACTAAAAACCGGAAACCACAATCGGTCTTGAAAAATGACCGCAAAAGTCCGAATCTCTACATCATTCCATTGTAGGTGTGATTATGGGAAACATATGTTGATTTCATATGCCTTCCCGAAATAGTATGTAGTTTTGTCTACAAATGTTCAAAGAAGGTCGACAAGTTTGTATGAAAACAACGTTTATAAATTCACATAGTTTTATCACTCAACGTTGAAAATGAATAATCTTGGCTGGCGCGAGAAAAAAATATACTTCAGCTGTTTTTTTATGGTCATGGGAAGCAATTTCGTTCCCAATATTCTCGTTTTGATGTATTTTTCGGGATTACAATGAGTTATATAGCCCACAAAGGAGGTTTGTTATTAGAAAGCAAAAGTTATTTCAGTAGCAGTTTTTTTTGTTCCGAGCCTGGAAATTGAAGCTCAAATTGTTAGTGTGACCCTCAAAGGGAAATTTCGAGCCATCTAGTAGAGTTATAATGACCCTTGCGGAACTTGCAGTCTTAGATTATACTAAAGTTAAATAAACTATTAGTTCTTTTTATATCCCAGTTTCAGAATTGATTGGCATGTTTTGAATCCACAAAAAATATCTCGTTAACTATGTTGATTATTGTCTATTTCACGATACTTTCACTACAAAATCGTACATTTATACAACTAAAAGATTAGATTTACTTCAACATAAATAATAAAAATATTCATTTGCTTAGAAAAAATCCACCGGTCCAGATACCTGACTAACAATTGAAATATTTCAAACGCCAACTTTTACTTTAATACTTTGTTGCTTTTGTAACTGACTCCCGTATAAATAATTAGTAATTAGCAACATGGGAGGCATCAGAGAAATATTCGTCTTTATTATTTTCAAATTACACCAACAGAATTTTTTTTTAAATATAGGGCGAAGTTCAGTTCAGTTCCTGAATAAATTATCTGCATATTATTTGTAGGAAAGAATTAGCACGTTGAAATTTATGAAACTGAATGTTTTTTGTCAAGTCTACGTCTCCATTGCATGATTTGTATAAATGACATATCTATATCTACTTGTGTATTGACGAACCTAACATATTTCATATGACAATAAATGAATTGAATTGAATTAAGTGAACGACGGGGTAGATCGATCGATGCAGCTATAGCAATTAAGTGTATATTTCGAAAACCTTTACCTGGGTTTTCTTGATATTGAATTCCACTCGATTATTGTCCACAATTTCTACTCCTTTGCACTTCATGTTATTGGGATTTTCATAAACGAGAATTGAGAAGCAGTCACTTTTATCTCAGTTATAACCCATACAAATATACGTTTTCATGTAATTTCACATAAAATCATTAAATTAAATTAAATTGATCGAGGCATTTTGTCTTTAGTTGACTCACCTTTCTAAAATCTTAAGTTAGGTTAGGTTAGGTTAGGTCTTAAGTGAGTGGGAATATTCGACCCTCCAC